AAAATCCAATTTTCCAAAATATCTCTAAAAATTCTAAAAAAATTTGAAAGTATTTCTTGGCCAATTCTAAGACTTTTTTGTTCCTAAAAATTTTTCGCGAAAGTCTTTAGTTTTCGAGAAAAACGCTTCTGAAGTTAAAAAAGAAATTTCTACTTCGCCGCCATTTAGAGACGTACATTTTGGAATTTTTAATTTTTATATGTCATATTTCGAAAGTTTGAAATGTTTGTGCAAACTTGTGCTCATTTTTGTTGAATAAAAACATGCTATTTTGATAGAAAATTTGATTTTTAGATTTTTCTCGACAAATTTTTCAGTGCTTTTTTCGAAAAAATTCGCCATATTTTTTTTCTTGAAATCTAATCATCATTTTGACTTTAGAATCTTGTAGAGCGACCCCAAATACATAAAGTAAGTCATTTTTAGACATATTCTTGATGTTTAAGTACTTCAAAGATAAACGCAAAGTAAAGTAAAGATCTTTGGCTTTTTCGGCGATAATGGGTTAATAACGCACAGCCCCTACACCTTTCGGGTAAGGTACACTTCTGCAGACGAATGAACAATTTCATTCCAACCATTTTGGTAAATATAATGCTGTAATCATAAGAACAATCAAATTCATAGCTACTTGTTTATGTTTTTTATAAAAAATATATTATACTTGAATAACAATAATTATTACAGCTACAACGTCAAATAAGTGTACTAAAAAAATATATGTTAGTTTATATCTGCAATGAACTAGAGAACGACGTTAAATCACTTATCTACGTTAGACAAGTAGATTGATACATTTAATAAGTAACTGTTATATATACTGTACATTGTCTATTGTAGTGGTTCCTATATTCCCACTATCAATGTTGTTGCTTTTGAATAGTAGAAAAAATGTAAGGTACATAAATAGTTTTATGCGTCTTGCATCATCGTTTATGTCGCTTATTTCTAAGAGATTGTACTTTCGTTCAATTTCGTTTTTAACATTAACAACATCATGCGTTGAAATGTTTTAAATGGTGGAAACAAAGTTCGAATAAACTTTATAAGAGTACTCGTCGGGCCCGTCGTTATCAAAATCAAGACGACTGAAACAGTATGTATGATTATCCTAATACAAATAAAAATATTTCATTCCTTCTATCAATACAGAATAACATGAAAATTCTAGTAAATTCTATCAATATTAGAATATTCAATAATACCTTTTTCATATTTTTCTTTGATTTTGACTTCGTTTAAACATATCACACCATCTGGGCAATAAAATTTTGTGCGTGAGTCACTGAATGACTTTGCTATATTTCTTAATTCAGCTATGTCATGTACGTTTATTGCGTCGTCAGTTTGAGAAATTATGTTCGAATTTGTGAATTCGAACTCACAAGTTCTTCAAAAATAAAATCTTATGGAAACAATACTGTAGGTGCAGTATTGGTCATAGTAAGATCCATGTGACGAGAGCAAGCGTTGCGCTTGTTCTCGTCGGAATTTTCCCAAGTTCTCCTCTCTCTCGGCAAGGCACGGTAACCAGCGTTAGGCGCATTTAAGAATGCGTCTAATGCATGGTCTCTGTTTCAGCTGACGGAGATTGCCGAGCGGGGCCGAGCAGGCCCAAAGCGGCTACACTGGCGACAGAGAGAGTATAGAGATATTAGAGAGAAAGAGAAATAGTCGGGGGCGTGCGTGCCCTACGCAAGATTAGGCAGGCGCGCGTTTAGAACCAATTAGCGCGTTGGTCGCACGCCGCCTAATAAGTAGGTCAAGTGGGGAGAGAAAAGATCGACGAAGAAGCTGTAGGTCGCGAGGAAAAACGAGCGACACAGACGGTAGTAAGTCGAGTAGAGACTCAGAAGGTTTTCGGAGTCGACCGAAGCAAGACGGTAGACGGCTAACGGTGACAGAAGTTCAGCCAAGGACAGAGGGCCGAGAAGAAACCGAGAGAAGATCACTTGGCCCTGCAACTGCCCGGGACGCTGCCCAGGAAGCCGGCAGGAGTTGCCCAGCGACGACCTGCTACACCGTGCGCAGGGCGCAGCCAGGACTCCCGCTCCAGAACTAAAGGTCAAGTTTGCGAATTTATTCTCTCTCTCTTTATCGACGGCACTGTGCGTAATTTTAATATTAGGTGGGTAACAAGGCGTGCACATGCCGGCTACCTGCCCTAATGATGGTCGGGTAATAAATCGCGCAAAGAGAAATCGTCCAGGCGATCCCTCGCCGGGCTACTTTCTCTTTTAGCTAAATAGCTTAAGTCGATTCGTCTTTAAGGCGGTCATCTGCCGGGCGACGCGCGTCATGTTTTGTATAGATTAGTAAGCGCGATAAGTTAGTTAATTTGTTCTTTTCGTAATAGGTGTTAAGAACGTCGTTGTGTTTATTCGATTAAAGTGTGTGTAATGCGGCTTATCATTATGCGGTGTTAATGTGCGGTAATTGCGAAATTTAAGTATAATGTGACCTTGAATTGATTGAAATTATATTTGTTTAAATGCGAATGTGTTTTGTGTGTATAAAGTTATTAACCATTTCATTTCTTTGCCTCTTCACCCTTCCCGCCTCAATTGCTATGAGCGAGTGCGCCTCACTTGCCCACCTTAAATACGAGGGTCGTTTGAAAAGTCCGTGCAAAGTCAGAGAGATGGCGCTACTGGTGCGTATCAAGGTTATTTTCAGTTAGTGGCATATCTTGAAAGAGCACATACCAAGTTTCAGCCAGATCGGCCAATTACTTTGCGTTTTACATTCGTTTCAATCAAAGAAATCGAGTGGTTGTAAAAAAATGGATGAAAAAGAATTTTGCGTGTTGATTAAACATTACTTTTTCAAAGGCAAAATGCCTCAGGAGATTAAACAGAAGCTTGATAAACATTATGGTGATTGTGCACCTTCGATTAGAATGGTTTATAAGTGGTTTCAAAATTTTCGGAGTGGCTATATGAGCACAAAAGACGCCTAACGTTCTGGACGCCCTGTTGAAGTTACCACTTCAGAAATTATTGATGAAATCCATGATATGGTGATGGCTGACAGAAGAGTGATGGTGCGTGAGATTACTAGTTTACTAGTACTGTAGGCATCTCGAGCGAACGGGTACATAATATTTTGCACCAATATTTGGACATGAAAAAGCTATCCGCTAGATGGGTGCCGCGATTGCTCACGATTGACCAAAAACGAGATCGTGTGAAGTGTTGCAAGAATGGTTTGCAGCTGTTCTAGCAAAATCCGCAAGACTTTAAGCGTCGTTTCATCACTGTAGATGAAACATGGATTCATCACTACACTCCTGAGACCAAAGAATAATCTAAACAATGGATTACCAAGGGGGAATCTGCTCCGAAAATGGCGAAGACGATTCCTTCGGCCGGGAAGGTTATGGCGACTGTCTTTTGGGATTCGCAAGGAATAATCTTCATCGACTATCTGGAAAAGGGTAAAACCATTACAGGCGAATATTATTCATCGTTATTGGATCGTTTGAGAACCGAGTTGCTAGAGAAACGTCCACGATTGGCCCACAAAAAAGTCCTCTTCCACCACGATAATGCGCCAGCTCACGCCTCAGCAGTTGTGGCCGCAAAACTGATAGAGATAGGGTTTCAACTCGTTTCACATCCCCCCTATTCTCCAGACTTAGCTCCATCGGACTACTGTTTGTTCCCTAATAAGAAAAAATGGCTGGCGGGGAAAAGATTTTATTCAAACGAGGAGGTGATTGCAGAAACGAATGCCTATTTTACAGACTTGGACAAATCCTATTGTTTGTAAAGGGATTAACAAACTAGAGCAGCATTGGATGAAGTATATAAGCCTAAAAGAAGATTACGTTGAAAAATAAAAAAGATTTATTAAAAAAAATCAAGCAGTTTTTATTTTTGCACGGACTCATTTAAAATAAATTTGTATCCAGCAGATGATCTCACTTTTTTTACCGATAAGCTAAAAGAAGGTATAAATAATGGCAAATAAATAAGTAATAATAAATATGGCTTTCCAGAGGCATAAACCTGAAAAGCTTCTTGCAATACGTTATTCTCTATCCTATTTAAAAACTGTGCTCTAATTGAAGGACAGTGGAACAAATTTTGCAAAGCAGATATTGCGTAACATCTACGTTTATCCATGTTTTCAATTTCAATTATTTCCCAAGCACTAGACAATGAATTCGATAACTTTGCAGATATTCTGTAATCCTTTTGTGCAACGCTTGGAGTATTTCTTTTGTTCACCATTTCTATAATTTTTGTGGAGAATCATTTATTATATTTAAATTGTCCGGGAAAAAGCTCTAATTTATTTGATAGAAACATAGTAAAAAGATGTTCTCGCATTCGTATCTTATCATATACAATTGTACTTGGAGATTTTTTGAAACATATGGATGTCGCAAAAGCTATAGCAAAAACGCCACAATCTACGGCATTATCTTGATTCTGAACTTTTGGAAAAGATATTTGCAGATAATCAAAATGAGAGATCAATTTTTTTAGAAATATTTTATGGCTATCATGTAACCGCTGTTGATTTAAAGAATCGTAAATAAAAATTTGTTTCGTGTCATAGATTAAACAAACCCAATATTTGTTTTAGCACATATCTTGAAAACAATTGTTATCACAACTATGTAATATCTGTAAATGAGATAGATGTTTAGTGAATGGGTCGAATTATGTACATTGAGGATTTGTAACAAATAAAGATGTATATAGAGTTGTCTTAGGCTTGAAGTGGAATAAAATTGTAACAAATTATGAAATTTGTCAATGTGAAAATCTGTAACATTTGCTGATTGATCAAGAACCATTTGTTCATCTTGTTTTGTAAGAGTGCATATAGACATTTTTATTTTCATAAATAATATATATTCAACAATTTATTTTCAACAAATAGTATACAACAATTTATTTCCAACAAATAATATATTATTTAATATTTTACAAAATTTAGAAATATATAATTATATTAAATGTTACAGAGTTTAAACATAGTTATTTTTATTATGTGTTCGGCGCTCACACCACCTTGAAAGAGCGCACTAAGCAGCTTTCTATTTAGCGCTTTTTTTCATGGCGCATGCAGCTTGATGTTATTGCTAAACTTATTAATGTGGGATGCTATTGTCCTTTCACTTTTTATCGGTGTCAACACATACTCTCGTACACCTCACCGTCACACACACTCTCGTCCTAGCCTCGAACTGATGTCTCGATGGCACCTTGGCGGCTACGTTCTTGGATAACTGGCTGTTGCTGCTCTAGCGTGTTGATGTTGACGGCTCGTGGATCGGCGATAGAGATAGCGAAAGTGGGCGGACTCAACGATAGTCGAAGCTTCACTAGTTCGATTTCAATCGCGCGCGTTCCGTCTGCTCGCGTGCTGAATTCCTTCGTTACGAATTTCGTCCCCCCGGCAGGTGCTGCCCTCACAGGCAACAATTAAGTTATATTATCAGCGCTAATTTGACGTTTACCGTCACAGTGTATAGAATAAAATTGTAGTATCTAGAGTAAAATTGTGGTATAAAGAGTTTATCAAGAATATATAGGTAATGTTATATGGTACAGGTGCAGTATAAGTACAGTATATGTATAGTATAGCTTTGGTATAGATACGATATAGGTACTTTCAATAATTATTTTTTCCAATAATACTGCTAAGCTGCTTTTTAATTATCATGTATACATAAATTTTTTGCTTTCACTGCCACATTTCAATATTCAATTCATTCAGAATTCACAAATCCTTGAATATTACTATGTAAAATTCCTAAAACATAAAATGGTCCTTAATTTTTTAAAACATTCAAAGTAAATTGATTTCATAAATAAATAAATATTTAGTTAGTTAATAAAGAAATAACAATAATTTTGCCAAAAATTGCGATTTAACATAATATCGCTATATTATTTTAAAATTTTATGAATTGATATTGTTGATTATTATTTTTATTAGGTATGAAATAATTATACCTTTCAAAGCACTCAAAATAATTATCTAAATGATCCAATTTCCCCCTTAAAGGCCATATATTACAATATAACTTTAAAAATTTAATTATTATTGAGAATAGAATACCAAAAACATTCTAGATGAATATAAAAAATAAGTTAACTTTGTAACGGAGAATTTCGGCTAGGCCGATTTCGTCCGTCTGGCTCTCGCAAATGTCCGTGCGCCGCGCCAAGCTGATAGTGTGTGCGTGTGGTATACACACTCATGCTTGGATTTTGGTTTACGAGGTGCTGAGAGAGAGAGAGAGAGAGAGAGAGAGATCTCGGAAAATTCGGGAGAGTCTCTGCTAGGCTGTAAGCAGAGGAAGTCGCTCGCGCAGATCAAACCGAAGGTCACGGTATTTCCGGAGTTGGCCCCGCGACCTCTTCGACGTCTTTTCGTTTTCGGAGACACGCCCGGTGCGCGGACGAGTATTTGAGTGTGAGACTGGGTCGCGCCTAGCCGTGTCCCGAAGGATACCCGGCACCGGTGCGTGTGGGTAACCGGTGAAGTGCGCGGGTGCGCGCGCATTGAACTTGCACATTGTACACACCATCGGTTGCCGAGCCAGAACCAAAGTTTATAGTACCAGCAGTAAGAGTCGCAATTACGGTTTTTATGTAGGGCTTCGCCACTGTTACACATATTTAAACGTCAAATATAAATATAATTTAATAATTTATATTATTATATTACAATTATGAATATACTACACATCTAAGAATTAATGTAATTTCATTGATGATGAATTAAATTAAACTATCAAAAGAATCTTCTATAGAAATATATAGTTGAATTTATTTTTATTTTTACTAAAATAATAATGTTTTAAGAAGAAAAGCTTTACATGGTTACTGAATGCACCTTATGTTCTGGACATGTTAGTAAATTTAATGAATAATTCGATATCTCAAAGACAAATGGTCGTATCTGACTCTCGCATATTGAAGCAAATTGAAGCTGAATGAACAGGCTGCAACCTATGCATTGGTCTAGCTCAAAAAAATTTTTTCATGCCCGTAGAGTAAAATAACAAGGTAAAAATTTTGGAATATTTTTTTTTATGCTTTATTCAAGAATTGTATGGCTACAGATGCTCTGAAAAATTTGTAACCAAAAAATTGGAAATCTAGAGTCTTCAAGCTTCAAAAGTTATATTTTTTTATTTGCTGTACGACAACTTTTACTGAAATACAGCCTGTTGAAAATTGCCAAAAAAATTAGACATTTTTTTTATTCCTTTAGTTTATGCGAGAAGTGTAGTAACTGATAGCTTTCCTATTCAGGAAGATGGCACAATTGGATAAGATATACTTAGAATATACAAAGCCCAAATCGACTATTCAAAAAAACATATAAGAACTAATAACTGTTTCTTCAACTTTGAAACAAAATTCAATGCCTTTCAGCAGCCGTATCATGTGCGAACTATACCCGCCACACAAAAAGCAATAGCACAACACAAAAAGACCACTATAGAACAAAAAGAAATACCAAACACCATAGGCACGAGTAAAAAAAATTCAACCTCGACAATAGCAGAGCCAGAATATGAACAAGAAGCACAGAAAAAAATACGAAGCGACAAAAAATTTTAAGTGCTTGCACTACCTCACAAGGCACACAAAATAAACGGTAATCCGAAAAACCCTCGCCGTGTGGAAAGCAGTAAAAGTTGAAAAACTGCTTCACACCTTGAACTCAAAACGGCAACATAGTGCCTTGAGGGAAAGTACAAAAGCAAAATCTGATTATTACTTTCTAAAGAAAGTATCCGAGAATGATTATTACAAAGACTCGGAAAAATCAATATGTGCTCCCAAAAAATCGATAAAAATGAGTCCTCTGTCGCCTAAAACAAATTTACAATGATAAATCAGGCCTATTAGAAGCTCTGAAAAAATTATCTGAAATTATTAACCCTTAACTACTATGTGGGGTAGATTTACCCCAGACCATTTTTAACAATAAATAAAATTTATTTATTTATTTATTTATTTTTTTTTCAACAATTTTTTTTAGTGTATGTAACATTAAGAATTGTTAACCTGAATATTTTTTTGTAGTAAAAGGTTTGAAATATACTAGAAAAAATTTTCATAGCAAAATATCTAAAATTCTCTGATTTATTCGATGTTTTTCGGGCTGGGGTAAATTTATCCCACCGAACAGTTACGTGGCCAAAATGAGGTGTGAAAGTTAAGGGTTAAACAATCAGTAAAATCAGATAGAAAATTAAATAAATCAGAAATATTAGAAATATCAGAAAAATCAATTAAGCCAGAAATATCAAAAATATCAGATAAGTCGGATAAATCATAATTACGAGAATTAATTAAACAGATCAATCAGTTTATCACAAACTCGTCAAAAGATTTAGGAACAGATCAAATATATTTAAGGGAATTGCTTCGTAAAAATCTGCAAACAATTATAGATCCAAAAGAGAGTTTATAACAAACACACGTGGTTAGTAATGCTCTAAAGGCTCTGATAACAGCGCGCGTACTGCTCAGCGGCAAATCGCGAATTTTCCCCGCGCATACAAAATCAGCCATTATATGAGCAACAAACACGGTAGAAAATAAAAACGAAAGATTAGAACACCTATTGCCTCTCACTAAACTCGATAATATTCAGCATGAATGGCGGAAACGCATAGAAAACATCATCATCATATATATAATCGTTTTAATATAATTAAATAATATAATTTAATAATTTAATAATATAATTTAATAATAATATTTTAATAAATTTTTAATAATCTTCTACGTGCCAAAAAAAAAAAAAAACCGAATACGGCAAATAACAGCCCCCACGTATAATATTTAACTACCGCGTGTTTAATAAAATAATTTCAGATTATAATTTCCCAGTACCACTAGCTGTCAAACTATTTGAACGAATGGCAGGAGCTCAACTATTTTCATCATTCGATATGTATTCATCATACCATAAAATATATATTAAAAAGAATATAGACACAAAACAACATTTCAATGCGAATCGGGACTATATCAATTCTGTCAATTCTGTCGTACACCATTTGGGCTAAAAACCAGCGCGCCAGTCTTTCTAAAAATGTGGTAGCTTTTTACGACAACATATGCATCTACTCTGAAACTTTTGACGAACATTGCAAAACTATAACGAAATTAATGGAACGTTTATGTGAAATTAATCTCGTGTTACAAGCAAAAAAAATGTAAGATTTTGAGATTAGAAATTGAATACCTTGATCACATTATCTCCAAATACGGCATACGCCCTTGTAATATTAAATTACGTGCCGTCAAAGAATTTCCTACACCGCGCAAACCAAAAAACTTTAAAATTGGCTTGGTCTAGCAGGCTACTATAACCAATCTATTGAAGAAAGGGCAACCATTCGTCTGCGGAGAAAAGCAAAAAAAGGCTCTTGAAATTTTGAAAGAAAAGCTATGTGAACCGCCTATGTTTAAACACTCGGATTTCCAAAAAATTGTTTTTTTCACTACTGGCGAATCTAAAATCAGTATCGCCGGATCTCTGCCTCAGCTCGATGGCGATAATCACCAGCATCCTGTAGCTTACATATTACACACACTAACACCGGCTAAAAGTAACTATCCGACAATACTGCTGGAACTCTTAGTAATAGTATGAAGCATTTCACAATTCAGACCATACTTATACCGATGAAAATTCGTTATAATCACAGATAATAGACCGTTGGTAAACCTATATTCCCTAAACGACCCAGGCTCTCAAACCTCATACCAACGACTACTATTACAAAATTATAACTTCGAGGTCAGATATAAAAAAGGATCATCAAACGTAAACGTAGATGCTTTATCAAGAAATCCGGCACAAGAAAAAGAACAGTTAAACAAGTAACTATAGCTCACCAAACACAATCCTAAAATTTTAACGATCGATTCGACACGCCCCGAAAGTAAGCCAGAAACATAAAAATATATTCGCCATGACTACGCGTTGGACTAGAGGCGCACAACCAAGTGAGAAATATCGAGAGGCCATTAAATCCCTCCTGCCGCGTCAAAAAAAAAAATAAAATAAAATAAAATAGCGAACGAGATCGGACCGCCTCCTGAAAGCTAGAAAGCCGACCCTAATAAAAATACTGATATATGTGCTAAGCAATTAACGTCAACCGAAGAGGAAACGTATGAGAACTCAATCAAAAAAAAGAGGAAAATAACATTGATGCACTAACGAATATGCCCAAAACGAATAAAAGCCCCACTTGCATTTCAGACATGAAAACAGACACAGCCTCAACAGGAAACATAAAAAATTCAGAGCTACTGACTGACGTAATGGACTAAGACTCCGACTCCAAAAGTAGCCAACTTACACGACAAGGAACCCTCCCTAATTAAAACTTTATATATTGCCGAGATGCGCTATTCATGAGAAAGGATAACTATCTATACTTTACTGACGTACTTGGGAAACCATTACACGAAGGTGCACTCAACTTACAGAAACAAAACAAGCTACCTAACATAAATAAATTAACTATAGCAGTATCCAAACTAATCAAAGCAGGAAATAAATTTCATATAGTTATACCATTGCGTAGTGAAAAAATAGAGATAACAAACAACATTAGAACAAATGCCCAATTATGAATCATTTAAAAACTGCAAAAGTGAAGTACATTTAAAACGACCATACTTTCTTATTCAAACCTTACTGAGCAATATATTTTGATACTTTACACTTAGTAGCAATAAAGTATCCTGCGAATACGACAATGTTATTGC